GTGTCTCTCATGAATAAACCTATAAAATCTTTAAAAAGAAAAAAAAAAGTTGCAGTAAGTGATCCAGAAGATCTTGGTAAGGTAATTCATGCTAAACAACAGATTTTCAATATAGACAAAACAGCCTTCTATTGGAAGAAGATGCTATCCAGACTTCTCACAGCTAAAGAGAAGTACCAATGCTTCAAAGCTTTTAAGGACACACTGACTTTCTTGTTAGGGGCTAATGCAGCTGGTGGCGTTAGCTGAAGCCAATGTCATTGACCATTCTGAAAATTTGGGCCCTGAAGAATTATGCTAAATCTACTCTGCCTGTGCTCTATAAAAGGAATAATAAAAAAAATAAATTTTAAAAAAATTTTAAAAAAGGAATACTAAAGCCTGGATGATTGCATGTTTGTTTACAATATGGCTGACTGAATATTGTAAGCCCACTGATGAAACCTACTACTCAGGGGAAAAAAAAAATCCCTTAGAAATTTTATTGCACTGACAATGCATATGGCCAACCCCATTGTAATGGAGATGTACAAGGAGATGAATGCTGTTTTCATGCCTGCTAATATAATGTCCATCCTGCAGACCATGGATTAAGGAATACTTTTGGCTTTCAAATCTTAGAATTTAAAAAATACATTTTGGGGGGCACCTAGGTGGCTCATTTGGTTAAGTGTCCAACTCTTGATTTTGCCTCAAATCATGATCCCAGGGTTGTAAGACTGAGGCCTACATTGGGCACCCTGCCAACATGGAGTCTATTTGGATTCTCTGTCTCCCTGTGCCCCTGTCCCCTCCCCTCATCCTCTCTCCCTCTAAAATAAGTAAATCTTCAAAAATAAAATATAAATAAAAATTAAATGAAAAATAAATAAAAATAAAAGTACATTTTTGTAAGGCTGTATCTATCATAGTGATTCCTCCAATGGAATTTGGCAAAGTAAATCAAAAATCTTTGGGAAAGGATCTGCCATTCTAAATGCCATTAAGAACATTCGTGATTCATGCAAAGAGGTCAAAATATCAATTGTAGTAACAGGAATTTGGAGGAAGTGGAGTCAAACCCTCATGGATGATTTTGAGGGGTTCAAGACTTCTCTTGAGGTATGGAAGGAAGTCACTAGAGATGTGGTGGAAATAGCAAGAGAACTAGAATTAGAAGTGGAACCTGAAGATGTGACTGCATTGCTGCAATCTCATGATAAAACTTTCACAAATGAGGAGTTGTTTCTTATGGATGAGCAAAGAAAGTGGCTTCTTGAGAAGGAATTAATTCCTGGTAAAGATGATGTGAAGACTGTTGAAATGACAACAAAGGATTTAGAAATTACATAAATTTGGTTTACAGGGCAAAAGCAGGCTTTGGGAAGACTAATTCCAACTCTGAAAGAAGTTCTACTGTGGGTCAAACAGCACTGCATGCCACAGAGTCAATCAGTGCAGCAAACGTCATTGCTGTCATAAGAAACTGCCAAAGCCACAGCAATCTTCAGCAACTACCACCCTGATCAGGCAGCAGCCATAGACGTTAACGTGAGCACCAAAAGATTACAACTCACAGAAAGCTCAGATCCTAATTAGACTTTTTTAGCAATTAAGTATTTAAAGTATAATCGCACATTTAATAGACTACAGTATTGTAAAAATAAATTTTAAATGTTAAATGTAAATGTTATTGTATAAACATAACTTTTATACACATGGGGAAACCAAAACTTCATTTGACTTGTCTTGTTACCGTGGTCTAGAACGGAATCTACAATATCTGCAAGCTATGCCTGCATATATTGTCAGCATCATTTACTGAAGAGACTATTCTTTCCCATTGAATTGAGTTGGACCCTTGTCAAAAAAATCAAATGATTTTTTTTTAAATATTTTATTTATTGGGATCCCTGGGTGGCACAGCGGTTTGGCACCTGCCTTTGGCCCAGGGCACGATCCTAGAGACCCGGGATCGAATCCCACGTCGGGCTCCCGGTGCATGGAGCCTGCTTCTCCCTCTGCCTGTGTCTCTGCCTCTCTGTGTAACTATCATGAATAAATAAATAAAATCTTAAAAAAAAAATTTTTTTTATTTATTTACACGAAAGACACACAGAGAGAGGCAGAGACATAGGCAGAGGGAGAAGCAGGCTCCCGGCGGGGAACCCAATGCACCACTTAATCCCAGGACCCCGGGATCACGCCCTGAGCCAAAGGCAGACACTCAACTACTAAGCCACCCAGGTGCCCTACGTGTCTATCTTATGTCAGTAATATACTGTCTTGGTTACTGTAGCTTTATCATAAATTTTGAAATTAGGAAGTGTGAGTCCTCCAATTTTGTTTTTCTTAAAATTTTTTTGGCTATTCTGGGTCATTTGAATTTCCATATGAAATAGAGAATTGGGATGCCAATTTCTATAAAAATAGGCACTAGGGTTTTGATACGAGCTGCCTTAAATTTGACTAGTTTGAGAAAAACTGCCATGTGTTATAGGCTGAAGTATGTCCTCCAAAAAGATATATTGAAATCCTAATCCCCAATACCTCTGAATGTGACGTTATTTAAAACAGGGTCTTTGCAGATATAATCAAGTTAAAAGGAAGTCATGCTTGATTAGGGTGGGCCATAAATCCAATGAGTGGTATCCTGATAAGTCATGTGAAATCAGCTTTGGTCATTTTCTATGTAAAAGATTTTAGAATTCTCATGAATTCAGCTAACTTCTTTCTATGTCTCTCCAGGGTTCTTTCCTCATGGATGGTTAAGCTACAAATATTGACTTGCCCGAAATAAAATAGTGGGGCTGGGGGATTGTTTATGTGGTTCTTGGTCTCAAATAATTTTATACAACTATCTGAGCCTGACCGATGAGAGACTGATTTGAATGCATTTCAAACTAAAATCTGTACCCAGGAGAAAAAAAAAAAAAAAAGAGGTCACTGGGCAGAAGGGGGCGCCAAACCGCTGAGCCACCCGGGCTGCCCAACTTTTTTTTTTTTTTTTTTTTTTAAGTAATCTCTAGGGCAGCCCGGGTGGCTCAGCGGTTTGGCGCCGCCTTTGGCTCCAGGCGTGATCCTGGGGACCCAGGATCAAGTCCCGCGTCGGGCTCCCTGCATGGAGCCTGCTTCTCCCTCTGCCTGTGTGTCTGTCTGTCTGTCTCTCTCTCTCTCGTGAATAAATAAATAAAATATTTTAAAAAAATAAAAATAAAAAAAAAAATAAAGTAATCTCTACAGGGGCGCTATGTGGCTCAGTCAGTTAAGCATCTACCTTCAGCTCAGGTAATGATCCCAGAGTCACCGTTGAGCCCCACATCAGCATTTCTGTTCAGTGGGTAATCTGCTTCTCCCTCTGCCCCTCCCCCTAATCGTGCACATGTGCACACACTCTCTCTCTTAACTAAATAAAGAAAAATTTTTAAAATCTCTACATCCAGTGTGGGGCTCAGACCCAAGACCCTGAGATCAAGAGTCGCGTGCTCTACCAATTGAGCTAGCCAGGCTCTCCAAGTCTTGCACTTCTTGAGCTAAACCAATTAAGTATTTTATTCTTTGTGATGCTACTATAAATGAAACTGTTTTCTTAATTTCATTTTCAAATTGTTCAGTGCTAGTATACAAAAATACAATTGACTTATCTACATTGATTTTGTATCCTGCAACTTTGGGAACTCATTTTATCAGTTACTAGTTTTTTGTGGATTCCTTAGGTTTTTCTGTGTACAAGATCATGTCATCTGTGAATAAATATAGTCTAACTCCTTCTTTTATCTTATTTCTTTCTTTTTATTGCCTAATGTCCCTTTTTCTTGCCTAACCGTCTCTCTAGAACAATACCGAATAAAAGTGGAGAGGGCTGACATTTTTATTTTGTTCCTGTTCTTAAGGGAAAAGTATTCAATCTCTCACCAATTGGGTATGATGTTAGCTATGGGTTTTCATAGACACCCTTTACCAAGCTGAAGAAGTTCCCTATTACTACTTTAATTAGTGTTTTTATCATGAAAAAGAGTTGGATTTTGTCAATGCTTTTTCTTCATCTCTTGGTATGACCACGTGTATCCTTAAGATTTAAACACAATTAGAGCTAATTCTATACTCTCGTAAGCAACTTAACATTAATTTTCTTCATTCTGACAAGTAATTCTTCCACTGAAGAGTCTCCATTAGTTACTTTATGTATATATAAGTAACAAAGCTTTGACAATTACTCAATTTACTGCTTTTGCTTTAAAATACAACTATACTAGTAAACTGAATATATTTTAGACCTTAAGAGCAAATAAATATAAATATATATATATACATAAATTTTTTAAAAGAGCAAATAAATGAAAGGCTCCAAGAAACCTGCAACCTAGAGGTAAAACAAATCATCATTTTCAACAATAACAGGAGACCTAAACAGAAGATAGCATATGCATATATACCATGTAGAGCAGAATATGAGAGGAGGTTTCCAAAACACATAAACTTAGTATTTATAGGATACAGAGGAGTTAATCCAGACAAAGAGGCAGAAAAAGGTATTCTGCATGGAGGAAGTTGTATGTGCAAAGATATAGTGAGGAAATGCATGCAATTATACGTTGCTAATAAGGACTGGTGCATGCACACATCTGTGGCAACAAAAAGCTATGTTACCAAGAGAGGACTCTGGAAACAGGCCAGAGTTCTAATTTTATTCTTCTCATTCAGGGTAAATTGATACAGTCCATTATGAACAAAGAACATTTTAGCTATATTTGACCTAACACTGATACAATGTATTCTGCTCCAGCAGGGGAAAAAAAGTGCACAGAACATATATCAAAAATATATACATTCACATACATACCACACACACACTTAAAACATTTGTTCCCCTCCACTTTACCAACATATTCTGGATTTTTATCTACTCAGAGCTAGCTTTAAGGAATCTTTAATTATAGCATATAATTTGCTTCCTCTAAGGCTCTTTCCTCTATATACTAACTTTATTTGCCATTTAAATATTTAAAAATATCACCAACCTATTGCCACTGGGATACTGTACTACAATGTCATGATCTTCATCAATGCCACAAACAGTTCCAGTTGTAGTTAAAGTCTCAAACATGCCATCAGTCCATCCTCCATGACCGTGCTGCAAAGACTGTACAATTTCTAGGTCAAGATCTATATTTACCAGGTCACCAATCTGCAATCCACCAGGATTCCTGTTGCCATTTTGCTCACCTGTAATTGCAAAGAGTTGACAAAGGAAAACCACAGCAACATCATGCAACTGCATTATTTTTTAAAGAACAAGCTCTAGATATTTTAATCTAATCTTAAAATGTTTTGAGACTATACTTTATCAGATTCTAGAGCTAGAGAACTTAAAACTAAGAAAGAAAACAATCAGACTCACAGCTTAAAATAATCTGATGATTTGTAACAGCAACTGAACAAGTGTAAAATCTATTAGACTATGCAACCCTATATCAAAGTACAAAGTTCAAAAAAAAAAAGTACAAAGTTCTAGGTTTTGAAAATAGTCATTTTTCTGTATGGATGACTTGTTGGTTATCCCTGCAATAACTACACTACAATTAGACAGTTATTGAGATTCAATAAGTAACAATAGCCATAATAACTAGAGAATCTGAAAGAACCTTGAAATTGTTTTCTTCTCTGAATGACTTAGTACTAGTTTTTACCAAATGGCCCTTGTGATTTTTTCTTACAGAACATTTCTAAATATTTAAAAGCCCATTCCCTAAAATATTTTCAAAGCTAGTTCTGGGATAAAGGATTCATAATCATAAACTACCACAATGAGGATATCCAAAGTATGTATGTTGATTCTACACTTTTCCTGTGAAGGCAAGACGCAAAACAAGGAAGTTTTCTAAAAGCAAGAAAAACGGATGATCTTGTCAAAAATATAAGTATTTTGTCTACAATATCCTTTAAAAAAAAAAAAAATCAGGATACCCTGCAGGAAAACAGCATTTTTTGGCCAAAAGGGAAATCAAAGTATTTAAAAAGAGAAACACAGAGTTCACATGAAAAGATGAGCATTCAAAAACTAAAGCCTTAATTAGAAGAATGTGGTAAATGTTTACTGTGGCAACAATAAAGAATCTACAATATGAAGATAGTTTTGTTTTATCCTTTTTTTAATGACATATGAAAATTATAATTATTATATAACCTTAATTTTCTAACTACTTTTGTATTTAGAAGGCAATTTTACAAAAATTCTAAGGAATTTATAAGCATTAAATTGCCAGATTCTATTATTAATATGTAAGAAATACTGATAACTCTAACACAATTTTTCAACAATATTTTATAACTAAAAGACAAAGGATTCAAATGTATTATGACATAAAAGTGGTATATCAATTCACAAGACATGACAACTTTTTCAGGGTCTACATAAATTAAAAAATAAGAACAAATGCTTTAAAAACCAAAATAAAACCGAAAAAGTTATATCTTTAACTTTTTTTAAAATCCAATTTAAACATTTTCTGATTTCACAAACTCTGATACATTATTTAGTAATTTTCACTAGTCTCTTGACTCACCTAGCACAGGGCAGTGATCTCTGTAGAAAGAACCTCCTTTGGCATCCTGGACACACTTGAGGTCAGACTAAGAAGAAAAGAAACCAGAAAAATCACGCTTGAAAACTTCAAGTATAGCTCAGTACCTAAAATAGGCAAAAATGTTCATTCAGAATACACCCTCAGCAAAAGTTAAGAGTAGCTCTAGGTTAACAATCACACTAAACACTGCTCTTGAAAGTATCCATCAAAAATTAAAATCCTGATCTCCAGATAGGTCATACTTCATTTACTTTTAGCTTACCTTTAAAATTCAAAATTAAAATGCCTGGATCTTTACCATTAAAATATTTTCAAAAACACATAAGACCTCAACAAATACCTATTATTTAAAATGTTCAAAACACATTCTGTTTTAAAGATACTTTTATGAAAAAAGAGCTCAAATCATTTGCTCTTTTCAATTTTATGACATACACAAGGCAAGTATTAACTCACTAAATAAAGAAAATTATCCAAAACTAAACAGCCAGAAAATAGAAAAGGATAGGACCAAATTCAGTCTTCTGATTCCTTAGCCAGTTAAGTTTACATAAACTTTAGTCCTTAGTTCGTAACTTGGTCAATTCAAGTTCCTTCTCACTTAGTTTTTAGAATTATTATTTAAGTATTTGAATGGGGAGGCAGTTGTGATATAATCAACAGTACAGAAAATGTGAAATTAGAAGAGCAATCTTGGGAGTTACTATGAAAATTTAGATTTAAAAGTGCCTAATAGTATAAGGGATCAGTATATACTTACTGTATTAAGGAGCTACTTTACAGACAGACAAACACACACACACACACACACACACACACTTTTCAACTCTCTGACAGCCTCCTTTGCCACTACAACATCACATTTAGCTCAGTCCTAATCAGAAAGACACAGGTGTCAAATTGTTTTAATGTGATACTTTCACCCAGCAATTTCACTTCCAGGAATTGATTCTAAAGAAATATACCCGGAGATGTGCAAAAATATATGTACAAGGATGCTGACTGAAAGAATGCATGCAACAATTAAAAAAAGACCACCTAGATACCATCAACAGAAACCTTATTAAATATATAATGGCATAACTGTACAGAGGAGTACTACTCAGCCATCAAAAAGAATCTACATATATACTACTCGTTAAGTACCTCTACATATATAACTTCTAAGGCTTCATCTGAAGCAAGTTAGAAATTAGAATCCCCCCAAAATCCACAATTTACAAACAGAAGGAGGCATCAAAATACTAATGGAAAACTAAAAAAGAACGCTATATACAAGTATTAAACCTGGCAAATCAAGTATTTGTTTAGATTCACACTGTGACTTACATGGAATAAATTAAAAGCAAAGAGATAGTGGAATATTTTTCCCCTCCTACCAAGGGGCACAAAACAGTTGGGAAATAATGAAATTTAAAGAATTCTTTGAAGGAGGAATGTATTCAAGATGGAAAAGATATAAAAAGCATTAATATTCTGGCATTAATATTTAGTTATACTCCATAAATTAAATAACCAAGGTCAACATTTCAACAGTGATCCATGAAATGCAGAAATATAGAGCAATCCATTGAATGAACCACCAGAGCGGTTTTTGTTGTTGTTTTTGTTTTGTTGTTTTGTTTGTTGTTGTTGCAGGCATAACTCATTGATTTATTTTATGAATAAATAAGAAAAAAAGCCACTGGCTGGAAAGAATAGTGGAGATTTGTTTTCCAGTATTCTTTGATTTGGACTTCCCCACCCCCCACACCCTGTTATAACTGAGCTCACTTCCCACTGGTAGTCCAAAATGATGACTCTTTCCACCAGGCCTTACCGCCGCCTCTCCAGTTCAGAGGAAATAGTGTCGGGCCTGAGGCTCAACAGTCTTTATCCTACTCTGGTTCCAGCTTCAGGTACCCAAACATATGCCTTTGGTCACTGGAGGCTCTTACACAGCACCAGCTGGTGCTCTGGCTTATTATCCTAAGCAATCAAGTAATTTAAAATGTTTTAGGTCAATCATTTTCAATTACCAATACTACTCTTTAAAAATACAGAGGGAAAAATATATCCTTAAAAACAACTTTAACACCTATAATTTATACTTTTATTAGCTACCAGAGTTAGGATATAAATATTCTATAAAAACCTCATTATAATACTATACTCTGTGTCCATGCCACAGAGCAGCCTCTTTCAGAAAGATTATAAATCTTGATAGATTTTAGTAAATAAGCTCCTAGGGTGGATTTATAAGGGATTAGCTCTACACAATCTATATTAAGTTACCCAAATATTAACTGAGGACAAAATCATATTTACTATTAAATAGTGTAAACAAATGTACTAAAAATGTAGAGTTTATAATACATCCTCACTTTACAGAATTTTTTCCTATTGCAAATTCATGATTCAGATAGCTGTATTCTGACAAAAGAATATGACCAAAGAGAAAAAAGAGAATACAATAAGAGCAACTTTTATTTCCCTTCTTCCATCTATCCAAAATTTTTATCTTTTGTGATTCTTACCATGCCCTCAAAGCCAACTCTGTAAAGGTTCTTAGCACCATTATCCCAGAGAACATAAGCTGCACTATGTGGGCTTGATGCACTCCAGTCCTGGATTTCTGTTACCTAAGAGAATTGTCAGAGAAAACAATTTTTTAAAAGGGGAAGGGAGAATTTAGGTCTCTTATATTTAAAATCTTAATTATCATTTCAGCTATTATCCTGTCTAACAGGATCATGAAAAATACTTGTCAAACATACGTCATTTCTTTTTTTTTATCTTTATTTTTTTAACAGTTTTCTTTCTTTTTAAGATTTTATTTATTTATTCATGAGATACAGAGAGAGAGAGAGAGAGAGAGAGAGAGAGAGAGAGAGGCAGAGACACAGGCAGAGGGAGAAGCAGGCTCCATGCAGGGAGCCCGAAGTGGGACTAGATCCCGGGTCTCCAGGATCACACCTTGGGCTAAAGGCGGCGCTAAACCGCTGAGCCACCCGGGCTGCCCACATACGTCATTTCTAACATATAACTGAATTATAACTAAAGACATTTTTCAGAATTATAAGGTAATTTCTAAAATCACTATAGAAATTTTGAGGCTTAGTGATTACAGTAATAGATTACTGGAAAACAGACAATTCAATACAAAACTTTAAATTTTGATTCTTAAAGGGTTCCTTTTAAGAATAGTATATTATCTCAAACCCATTATCCATCAGAAAATTTAAAATCTTTGACCAGGTATCCAGAATGATTCCAGATAAATCTGCTCTCTTGTCAGCTAAAAACTGAGAGGCACAAGGCTCAAAGCCAGTATTTAAGAAAACTTGAGTTGATGTTGCTCCTCCAAGCACTATATTCTTCAGCTGTCCCACAAGGCAAGCCATCTAAGCTAAAACACCATACCTACAATGGAAATTCAGACACAATCTCTAGGCCCCACATCCAAAAGACTAATGAATAAGCTCTTTTGACATAAAATAAAAACCAACCAACCAACCAACTGGGGTTGCTACTGCTTAAGGGCCAAGATCCAACTGCATAAAAATGATACACAGCAGAGCACCCAGGTGGCTCAATTGATTAAATGTCTGCTTTCAGCTCAGGTCATGATCCCAGGGTCCTGGGACGGAGCCCTCATCCTGGAGCCTGTTTCTCCTTCTCCCTCTGCCACTTCCCCCATTTGTCCTCTCTCACTCTCTCTCAAATAAATAAATAAAATTTTTCAAAACAACAAACAATACACAATGAATGCTAAACTTGGGTATTCTCAAACTAGTCTAGAGCTAAGAATGGGGAGTTACACATGTGCAACTCATTTCTTTTCTCCATCTTGACACTTAAAATCAGCCATGCTTTACAGTTACTTAGAATGCCAGGCTTATGTTAAATATAATTTTTAAGGCATGACCTTAAAATATAATTTTAAAGCATAACCTTATTTCAAAGAAGATATATAATCACTCTTCCTTGTTTTTACCCTGTACTAAAAAAATCATTTTGTAAGCTACACTTATGATGCTTTTGTAAAGATAAAAAGGCTTTAAGATTGATCAAAGATTAATTTTTGAGAAATATTTCAAAATGTTGAGTCCGTTCTTTTAAATTTTGAAATAAATCATACAAAATATAACATGTAAACTTTAAAGAATAAAAAATAAAATGAATACCAGCCTATGAAAAAGAACACTACCAGTACTTTCCAAGTCCACTGTGTACCTCCCATCAAGCCATCCTTCTGACCTCTCAACAGTTAACTATCACCTTGAATTTACAGTTCATCACTGCATTGCTTTCCTTAATGATTTGCACAACTAACCACTACATAACATTATAAAGCAACAACTTCTAACACTTTAAGTAAAATATGCAATCTTTAGTAAAGTATTCCTTCTGATTCTAAAACTACTTCATTTGTTTTAAAAATGCAATGCTAGGCGCAGTTAGGTGGCTCAACTGGTTGAGTATCCAACTCTTCCTTTCAGCTCAGGGTGTAATCTTGGGGTCATGGGATCAGGTCCAGAGTCAGGCTCAGTGCTGGGCGTGGAGCCTGTTTAAGATTCTCTCTCTCTCTCTCCCTCTGTCCGTCCCCCCACACTTGCACATACTCTAAAATAAATCAATCTTTTAAAAAATGCAATGCTAGATCAAGTAAGACTGTATTTTTATAAGGGGCACAAAAAAATTTGACTAAAAAACAAAGATTTATATTTCAAATTCATCTTATGTTTCAAATTATGTGGGATATTAGCAAGTTCATTAATTAAGCTCTGAATCCTAAATGAAATTCCTTCATTTGTTAAAATGATCTGACTTATTATTGAGGGGGAAACAAAGTGGGAGGCTTGAGAAAATTACTACATTAATTTCACAATTTTAATTCTGATTCATAAAGATGTGCAGAATAGCTGCTAAAAACCATCAGGTAAAAGGTTGCTAAGGTACCCTATAAAAGAATTAAACTTAAAAAAAAAAAAAAAAAAGACAAACCTGCCTCCACTGATAAATCTTAACATCACTATCAGTAAGATAATCCGACTTTACATGCCCTGATGTGATGCAATAGAGAGCAGAGCACCACTTAAGAGGTTCTCTCGCCAAAACAAATTGAATCCTAATCAAGCCTTTAACAACTAGTTTATAAGAAACTCAAGAATTGGAGGAACAAGAAAAGAATACCATAAAGAATCAATTAGACAAATCTAAAGAACCTGATTTCGGGCAGCCCCGATGGCCCAGGGGTTTGGCGCCACCTTCAGCCTGGGGCGTGATCCTGGAGACCCGGGATCGAGTCCCATGTCAGGTTCCCTGCATGGAGCCTGCTTCTCCCTCTGCCTGTGTCTCTGCCTCTCTCTCTCTCTCTGTCATGAATAAATAAATAAAATCTTTAAAAAATAAATAAATAAAGAAAGAACCTGATTTCTTCAACAAATAAATGGAATTTTTAAAAAAATATTGACAATTTTTGATGTTGGATTATGGGTGCAGAGGAATTTGCTATACCGTTCTTTCTACTCTGATCTATGTTTGAAATTCTCCATAGTGAAAGTGTTTTAGGGGTGCCTGGGTAGCTTAGTCAGCTGAGCATCTGATTCCTGATTTCAGCTCTGGTCATAATCTCTGGATTGTGAAATCAAGCCCTACATCGGGCTCTGTGCTCAACACAGAGTCTGCCTGAGATTCTCTCTCTCCTTTTGCCCCTCCCCCACTCACACACACACTCTCAAATTTTTTTTTAAAAAAAGTTTTCTGGAAAGAAATATATCTAATGTGCATATATAAAATACAACTGACACATATTCAAAAGGATTTTAACACATATTCAATATTCCAAAGCATTTGTAAAATGAAAACAGTCTTCAAATACTAACAAAGTAGTGGTACTTAAGAAGCCCTTTAAGAATACATTACATGCTTCCATGGTGTCTTTGCATCATGTTTGCCAAAAGCTACACTTGACATGTTTATTTTTATGTGTGAATTTTATTATCGCCATGCAATCACAGGACATGTTGGCATGGGATGGGCCAAAGACCAAGAGCGTGCATCAGTCTCAGCCTGGGCTGGTATCTACCCCTTAATATAGCTCATCATGGCCATTTAGTTGAGTACATATAGCAATGAAAGTGAGGTGAGAATCTTGAACCTCACACACAAGGGAAGAAAAAAGAGATAAGAAAAGAAGACACTATACACCACTCATGTAGATTAATCAGGGAGCTGGGACAGAGCAGCCTACACTGAAGGGAAAATGGGGACTCCAAAAAGCTCTTCATATACACACTCAGGCAAAAATAAAAGTCAGACAATTAAAAACTGCATTTGATATCAAACACGCTTAAATAGACTTATCATGATATTAAGTTCCCTTAGTCACAGTATGAAATGGTTTCATTTATTTTTCCTCATTTTGTTCTCAAAATGCAACATGGATTAAATCGTAACAAATCAAAAATGTAATAATGATCACTCAAAGCTTCAAAAATGCCTACTTTTTATCCCACAAAAAGTGCCAAAATAACAGAAACTCAAAGTTCCATCTATAATGTGGCTTCAGACTTCAACTACTGCCTTCAAAAGCTGATGAAACAATAATTTCCAACCTTCTGACCATATAATTAATTGTGGGGAAAAATATAGTTAAAAAAATTTTTAGGGGGCAGCCCGGGTGGCTCAGCGGTTTGGTGCCTGCCTTCGGCCCAGGGCATGATCCTGGAGACCTGGGATCGAGTCCCACATGGGGCTCCCTGCATGGAACCTGCTTCACCCTCTGCCTGTGCCTCTGCCTCTCTCTCTGTGTGTCTCTCATGAATAAATAAATAAAATGTTAAAAAAAAAAAAAAAGTAACGCATCTTAAAAAAAAATTTTAGAAAATATTAAAAATTTACTTCTCATGCACTCATTCAAAAGAAGTTATTAGAAGTATACTCTTTCAAAACAAAGAGCAAGCTAAGTAAGATGATATAATAGGATATAGGAAACAGGAGATCCAGCCAGGAAAGAGGCAAAGGCACCTGCTGGGCACCAAGTATAGAGCATGTTCTGTCCAAAAACAGCCACGGGCTGGACATGCTGAAAGGTATCACCAAGATTCCCATTGCCACTATACCATTTTATTGACCCAAGGACTGACCTGACCAAGTTGAGCCTGACCCAAATTCTCAGTTGCATTTGGCTTGTTTGGACTAATAATGAAGTTCCCACTCTTCCCTGCACCCCTATTCCCTGACACCTAGATCAGTTAAGGTCTCTCATCTCACACCACAGAACGGTCTGCTTTGACCTACTCCTAAAACTTTGACATGGCCCATGGTAAGCTTAGAAGCAAAAAATACAGAGTAACTCATCCCCTCTGACTGTATGCCTCTCCAAGGCTCACCATCTGGCCTGTACTTCTGCCCTGCTTAAGGTCCTTCGTGAAGCCCCGTATTTCCTAGGATCTTGCCCACTGACTACCCTAGGACTCTTTTCAACTTCCAGGGAAGCAAGACAGGTTAAACCAGAGACTATTCAGTTTATATTGTCCTGGGAGCTTTAATCTAAAAGTGACAATTCTACTCTAGCCTTACAATAACTAAATTTGTGCTTGATACTGGGTCTTTTCAAAAATGAAATCCTAGGGCAGCACGGGTGGCTCAGCAGTTCATCACTGCCTTCAGCTCAGGGCCTGATCCTGGAGACTCAGGATGGACTCCCACGTTGGGCTTCCTGCATGGAGCCTGCTTCTCCCTCTGCCTATGTCTCTGTCCCCGCCCCCCCCCCCCTGTGTCTCACATGAATAAATAAAATCTTAAAAAAAAAAAAATGAAATCCTAAATGTTGTGGGACACAACACTGTGTCCTGTCCTACAACAATAAAGAAAAACCATGGAATAAAGACAGCAGAAATCCGTTATCTTGGGGGACTTACAACTGTGAAAGGGTAAAAAGTAGTCTTTTAGGGATGCCCAGGTGGCTCAGCGGTTAAGTATCTGCCTTTGGCTCAGGGCATGATCCTGGAGTCCCGGGATCAAGTCCCATATCAGGCTCCCTGAATGGAGCCTGCTTCTCCCTCAGCTTGTGTCTCTGCCTCTTTCTCGTTGTGTCTCTCATGAATAAATAAATAAAATCTTAAAAAAAAAAAAAAAAGTACTCTTTTAAAGGTACTCATTCTATTCTCTAATCTGTATGAGAACAAAACTGTTCATTTTACCATTATTCTTTAAACTTTCGCATATTTTATACATTCTTCTGTATGATACAGAACTGCTATAAATGGTTATGAAAGTTGTTCACTGCATAAGGGTAAGGAGTAGAATAGGGCTGACATCCAGCCCATGCTCCACTTACCAAGACCTATGCACTGGGGCAATGGTGTTCCTGCCCCACCCACAAATCAGTGCCTTCTCTTGCATTGGGCTTGCCATGCATGTCCCCATAGCATTCCATCCATCTAGAGGTGACACCTTTTCCAAATTCACACTGCTCTACTTTTCTTTGCAGTGCAGTGCTCCTCAAATTTTGATATGCATATAAATGACCCAGGCAATCTTTCTGTAGATGAAGATCCTGATTTAGAAGGTCTGGAAGAAAGAGGACCTACTACCTATTACATTTCTAACAAGCTGTCAGGAACACCTTAAGCTGCTGGTCCACAGCCCCTACTAGTCACAAAATTTAGATGTATATTTTTTCCCTATCAAATCTAATTAAAATGTAGGTTTCAGGAGAGTAGGAACTTTGTCTCTTTTGTCCAGTACCATATCCCTGATGTTTGGAAGAGAATCTTGCATATCCTAAGTGTTCAATAAATATTTACCAAATTAAACAAAAAGCAAAGTTTGCTTCCTTACTAAAAATCTAAGTGCTTAAAATATAATGGCTAAAACAAATCTGTATGACTTCCAAACATTAAAATTAGACCTTATTATTTAAAATGAAATGACTGTGTCTCTGCCTCTCTCTCTCTCTGTGTGTGTGACTATCATAAATAAATAAAAATTAAAAAAAAAATTTTTTTAAAAAAGGGATCCCTGGGTGGCGCAGCGGTTTAGTGCCTGCCTTTGGCCCGGGGCGTGATCCTGGAGACCCGGGATCGAATCCCACGTCGGGCTCCCGGTGCATGGAGCCTGCTTCTCCCTCTGCCTGTGTCTCTGCCTCTCTCTCTCTCTCTCTCTCTCTGTGTGACTATCATAAATAAATAAAAATTAAAAAAAAAATTAAAATGAAATGAACATAATACTCAACAATTTATAAAACATGTATTAGAAAAAAAAAGATGTATTTGAAAAAAACATCTAAAAATTTTATATTCAAAATTACCCCAATATCTAAGTTACCCCAATATCTCTGGCTATCCCACCCCAATTAAACAAGCTACACAAAATTCCCTTTTTTTTTCCTTAAGATTTTATTTACTTATTCATGAGAGACACAGAGAGAGAGGCAGAGACATAGGCAGAGGGAGAAGCAGGCTCCTCACAGGGAGTCTGATGTGGGACTTGATCCCCAGACCCGGGATCATGCCCTGAGCTAAAGGCAGACGCTCAACTACTGAGCCACTCAGGTGTCTCCAAAATTCCCTTCAGAATAACTGCTATAATTAACTCCTGGCTAATTACCTGAGAAGGGTAACAGAGTTAAATAGACTAGATAACAAAAGTAGCTATTACACACCCCGAGAAACAGACTTTCAAGGGAATGAAATATAAAACAAGTAAACTCAAATGAAATCTTAGTAACAAAAAAGTCAAACGGATGACATACTGTTTAAGGAGGACTGGCCCAAACAGGATACTCAGAAATACATTCTGAGCAGCAAAATGGCAATATGAAACCTCAAAGTAAAAGGTAAAATCTACTCAACAACTTTCTGGATGAATGTCAATATTTACAATGTGGCAGAAACAATCTTTTTTTCTTCCAGAAAAAAAAGAAATGAAGATTTTAAAAACTGTTACTGGCATAAGAAAAAATGGGCCAAGAAATTCAATGATACTAATAAAAATCTCCTGAACATAAAATATTCTAGAATAACATGATGAATTAATAAAAAAAAAATTTCACCTTTCCCCTACGTCCATTTCCTCCATCCTGATCTTCCCACTGCCAGTCCACTCCTCGTACCACTCTGGCACCAGCAAAGATCCCTCTGGCTGTAATCTTCTTAGATTTTCTACGAGACTCTAAAAGAACCCTAAAAATAAAAGTATTTATTTTAAAATTATACAAAAATAGGTTACATTTATATTTTGGGGGGGGGGGGTTGGGGTAATAATGATCCCAAGCAGGCTCCACAATCAACACAGAGCCCAATGCCAGGCTGGATCTCACGACCCTAAGATCATGACTTGAGCTGAAATCAGAAGTTGGATGCCTGACTCACCCAGGTGCCCTGCCTGTAATTTTTTAAGATTTTTACATTTATTTTAGAGAGACAGCCAGCAAGCCCGGGGGGGGGGGGGGGGGGGGGGGAAGCAGAGGGACAGGGAAAGGAAGAGAATCTCAAGCAGACTCCTCACTGAGTTAAGAGTCTGATGTGGGGCTCAATACCACAACTCTGAGATCATGACCTGAGCTAAAACCAGGTCAGATGTTCAACCAAGTCACCCAGGCACCCCAATTTATTTTTAAAAATAAAATTATAAAAATGATTGTTTTAAAAACACAAAAGATTTTTCTTTGTTCTAGTTAATACCTTAACAGCATGATACATAAATACCTTTACGTTCCACAGGTGATGATGATAATGACAGTAGTAATTAGAATAGTATCTAATATTTACTGAGCTTTTACTAAGAGTAAAAGCTTACAAAAGTGTAAAAGTCTGTTATATTCCTTAAGAGAAGCAATTGTTATTTTATCCATTTATACATTTTACAAATGAGGAAACAAGAGTCTCAAAGAGGTAAGTGATTTACCCAAGGTCACAAGAGCTAAATAATAATGAAATGGAATGAAATCAACATATGAATCCAGGGGAGGGGCAAGATGGCGGAAGAGCAGGGTCCCCAAATCACCTGTCCCCACCAAATTACCTAGATAACCTTCAAACCATCCTGAAAATCTACGAATTCGGCCTGAGCTGTAAAGAGAGACCAGCTGGAATGCTACAGTGAGAAAAGTTCGCGCTTCTATCCAGGTAGGAAGACGGGGAAAAAGAAATAAAGAAACAAAAGGCCTCCGAGGGGGAGGGGCCCCGCGAGGAGCCGGGCTGAGGCCGGGGCGAGTGTCCCCAGGACAGGAGAGCCCTGTCCCGGAGAAGCAGGAGCTGCACCAACCTTCCGGGGGGGGCGGGGGGGGGGGGGGGGGGGAAGGGGCCCGCAGGGAGTTAGAGCAGGACCCAGGAGGGCGGGGATGCCCTCGGGCTCCCGGGGACACTAACAGACACCTGCGCCCCGGGGAGTGCGCCGAGCTCCCTTAAGGGCTGCAGCACGCACGGTGGGGCCGGAGCAGCTCGGAGGGGCTCGGGCGGCGGCTCCGCGGAGGGGGCTGCGGGGCGGGAGCGCGAATCCACCAGCGCAGGCCCCGGAGCACAGGGCGCCGGGACACAGCCCAGGATCCGGCCTCCCCCTGGGACAGGCAGAGGCCGGGAGGACCCAGGACAGCGAGGACGCTCCTGCCCCGAGCTGAGCAGATCAGCGGCCCCGCCCCGGAGCCTCCAGGCCCTGCGGACGGAGAGCCGAGAGCCCCGAGCCCCGTAGTTCCTGCGGAGGCTGAATCCAGGCTTCCAGAGTTGCCATAGCAACTGCGGCTGTTCCTCCTGGTGCCCCACGGGGTAAACAACCCCCGCTGAGCCCTGCAGCAGGCAGGGGCAGAGCAGCTCCCCGAAGTGCTAACACCTGAAAATCAGCACAGCAGGCCCCTCCCCCAGAAGACCAGCTAGATGGACCAGTGATACTCCCCCGTGTTCCAATACAACTTGTTTTTGGCCACTCTGCACTGAGCAAAATGACTAGAAGGAAAACCTCACCTCAAAAGAAAGAATCAGAAACAGCCCTCGCTCCCACAGAGTTACAAAATCTGGATTACACTTTAATGTCAGAAAGCCAATTCAGAAGCACTATTATACAGCTACTGGTGGCTCTAGAAAAAAGCATTAAGGACTCACGAGACTTCATGACTGCAGAATTTAGATCCAATCAGGCAGAAATTAAAAATCAATTGAATGAGATGCAATCCAAACTAGAAGTCCTAACGACGAGGGTTAACGAGGTGGAAGAACGAGTGAGTGACATAGAAGACAAGTTAATGGCAAAGAGGGAAACTGAGGAAAAAAGAGACAAACAATTAAGGGACCATGAAGACAGATTAAGGGAAATAAATGACAGCCTAAGGAAGAAAAACCTACGTTTAATTGGGGTTCCTGAGGGCGCTGAAAGGGACAGAGGGCCAGAATACGTATTTGAACAAATCCTAGCTGAAAACTTTCCCAATCTGGGAAGGGAAACAGGCATTCAGATCCAGGAAATAGAGAGATCCCCCCCTAAAATCAATAAAAACAGTTCAACACCTCGACATTTAATAGTGAAGCTTGCAAATTCCAAAGATAAAGAGAAGATCCTTAAAGCAGCAAGAGACAAGAAGTCCCTGACTTTCATGGGGAGGAATATTAGGGTAACAGCAGACCTCTCCACAGAGACCTGGCAGGCCAGAAAGGGCTGGCAGGATATATTCAGGGTCCTAAATGAGAAGAACATGCAACCAAGAATACTTTATCCAGCAAGGCTCTCATTCAAAATGGAAGGAGAGATAAAGAGCTTCCAAGACAGGCAGGAACTGAAAGAATATGTGACCTCCAAACCAGCTCTGCAAGAAATTTTAAGGGGGACTCTTAAAATTCCCCTTTAAGAAGAAGTTCAGTGGAACAATCCACAAAAACAAGGACTAAATAGATATCATGATGACACTAAACTCATATCTGTCAATAGTAACTCTGAACGTGAACGGGCTTAATGACCCCATCAAAAGGCGCAGGGTTTCAGACTGGATAAAAAAGCAGGACCCATCTATTTGCTGTCTACAAGAGACTCATTTTAGACGGAAGGACACCTACAACCTGAAAATAAAAGGGTGGAGAACCATTTACCATTCAAATGGTTCTCAAAATATACCCTAAAAACTATAGAACACTTCTGAAAGAAATTGAGGAAGACACAAAGAGATGGAAAAATATTCCATGCTCATGGATTGGCAGAATTAATATTGTGAAAATGTCAATGTTACCCAGGGCAATTTACACGTATAATGCAATCCCTATCAAAATACCATGGACTTTCTTCAGAGACTTAGAACAAATTATTTTAAGATTTGTGTGGAATCAGAAAAGACCCCAAACAGCCAGGGGAATTTTAAAAAAGAAAACCATATCTGGGGGCATCACAATGCCAGATTTCAGGTTGTACTACAAAGCTGTGGTCATCAAGACAGTGTGGTACTGGCACAAAAACAGACATATAGATCAATGGAACAGAACAGAGAACCCAGAAGTGGACCCTGAACTTTATGGTCAACTAATATACGATAAAGGAGGAAAGACGATCCACTGGAAGAAAGACAGTCTCTTCAATAAATGGTGCTGGGAAAATTGGACATCCACATGCAGAAGAATGAAACTGGACCACTCTCTTGCACCATACACAAAGATAAACTCAAAATAGATGAAAGATCTAAATGTGAGACAAGATTCCATGAAAATCCCAGAGGAGAACTCAGGCAACACCCTTTTTGAACTTGGCCACAGTAACCGGAGAAGGACAAACAGTGTATGTTCTCATTCATTTGGGGAATATGAATAATAGTGAAAGGGAATATAAGGGAAGGGAGAAGAAATGTGTGAGAAATATCAGAAAGGGAGACAGAACATAAAGACTTCTAACTCTGGGAAATGAACTAGGGGTGGTGGAGGGGGAGGAGGGCGGGGGGTGGGGGTGAATGGGTGACGGGCACTGAGGGGTACACTTGATGGGATGAGCACTGGGTGTTATTCTGTATGTTGGTAAATTGAACACCAATAAAAATTAATTTACAAAATTAAAAAAAAAAAACATATGAATCCAGTCTAACCTCTTCAGAGTATTACTATATCCTTCACCACTTTAGAAGTGGCAAACTCCTATCCTTACAGGGAAGTAGCATATATTAAGGCCCAAAAGATAACACCACAGTAATGACAAATGGCAAGTGACACTTGATCCGAGGCACAGGAAGACAAAAGGTAGTGGCAAGGGAACTCAAGACTATGATTTGTCTAATGGGTACAGATGCTCCTGTCATCCAACTGTTAACCATGAACAAATCCCCAATGCGGCCAGTCTTTGGTGTGTGTATGTGCATGTGCACATGTGTTCAAAATTTTAGAGCACAGTATAGCCAAGTAAAATACATCAGTGGCCTGGATTTGATCCAACACTAACTTGTCTCCAAAGTAGTGACTTACAAAGGACTATGGACCTTGAAAGAATTCTATACTCAATAATCTGGACCAGCAAGGTTCTCCAAGGCCATCTTTCCCTTATTCTCCTATATCCTTCTCATTCATAAAATCAAAAAGGTTTGGGGTTTTTCCTTTTGTTTTGCTAATTTTATCTCGTTATTCTATTCAGTTTTAAAATATCTTTATTATGCTCTAACTTTAAAAATTATAAGCAAAAGACAATAAACAACGTGTTCAAAACTATTCAGTTAATAAAGAGCAGGACCAGAATTTGAACTGGGATAATCTGATACCCAAACCCATTTTTCTACTACTCCTGCTGCCGCCCTAGGACTGGTTAGATTCTTGCTCCTATACATTATTCTTATCTATCTACATGAAAAGATTCAATCACCTGAAATTCTGTACTAATTCACTATCAATATTAACCTCTCTTTGCTAAGACACTTAGTATTAAGTGTCTTAATACTAATAATCTCTATATATAGTCCAAAATATCACATGATAATCACTGCTGGTCAAGTAATCCCTTAGCTTATAAACTCCTTAAAAAGAAAAAAAGAAAAAGGGAAAGTGCCTGGAAGCATCTGCCTTTGGCTCCAGTCATGATCCCAGGGTCCTGGAATCAAGCCCAACATCAGGCTCACTGCTCAGCAGGGAGTCTCCTTCTCCTCTCCCTCTGCTTGTGCTCTCTCCCTCTAACAAATAATTAAATAAAATCTGTAAAAGAAAAAAAAAACACACTATTTTAAGGGTACCTGGGTGGCCTTAGTCAGTTGACCATTTGACTCTTGATTTCAGCTCAGGTCATGATCTCAGGGTCATGAGACTGAACCCTGCTTCCTGCTCTGTGTATAGTGGGGAGTCTGCTTGGATTCTCTCTCTCTCCCTCTAAATAAATAGATCTTTTTTAAAAAGAAATATTGTGTTTTAGTCATCTTCAAATTTACACAAGCATAAGAGGGGCTACATAGTCTTAATAATCGCCTATTGATTCAATCAATGGGCCCTTAGTGTTCATCTGGTAGTGATTAACAGAATAGAATGCACAGTAAGAAGAAAATAATCAGCCTCTCTTGGGCTGCCCTTGCATTTCCAAATATTAAGGAATGCCAAGTCTCCCTGCTAGACAAAGAAGAGCTCAAATTATCCTGAAAATACATACAGCTCCAACTTCACAGAACTCTTTTCTCACTCTGTGGCAGGCCTGGTCCATATCTAGCCTCTTATTTCCTACATCCTGATATTAAGCTAGCTGTCAAGCCACTTCCAAATCCTATTTTTAAGTGGAATAGTATAAAAAATTGAATATACACAAGGAATTTTAACTAAAGAAAAAACTGTTTACCCTACCTCTCACTTCCTGGTGTAGTAATTCTATAAAAGCGATGTCTTAAGTGATGTTTATCTCCATGGTAACAAACAGTGCACAAATCATAATTTGTACATTCTGCACATTTCCATCGAATGCCAATGATTGGTTGCTGGCGGCAGGTATCACACATGGTTCCATCATGCTTGATACCTATTAAAACAAAGATACATGCTTGCATTAATTACAAATATTATTTACCTGAATACTGTTCCCTGGGGGAAAGATAAGAACAGAGCATTTTGCAAAGTAATTCAAAAAGGTAGGAAATAATATTTCAAATGTACCATACATAGTTTCAAGACAACATATTTTAAGTGTTTTCATCAGTATAAATTATAGACTAAACATTTTCTATCACTTCTTTCTTCACTAGTTAAGAGTACTTCTTGATAGCAATGTCTTTGCTGTCATCCACAAACAAACTTACATTCAATCTAGTGACAGAAAGAAGAATCATTTACCACTAAGTAGATATGGTAAAACCACATCAAAAACCCAGAATCTCTTAAAGAATTTCAACCTACTCTCCAGGTAAACAATTATGCCAAAAGAAAAAGCAAGTTTAGCCTCATGATATCACAGAAACAAACTATCAATTTAAGCATCTATCCCTGGATATTGCCAAACTCTCCATCCCAAAAAAACAAACTTTAGGAAAGGATTACCAAATAAGTTTTTCAGTGTACAAAGAAACAATATACTATAGTCGAAATTGCTCGTTTGTTTTCCTACAGAACAAGAAGTAATAAAGTCTAGAAAAAGGAAATAAACATTTGGCAATATGACTTCCACTAAAAATGATACATGAATGACAAAGACAATTAGAACTATAAAAGGTACCACTATTAAAGTAATGCAAATAACATTTTAATGTAACAAAATTGGGGATAATGCTTCTTTACTATCTGTTATAGTTAGAAATTAAAACTAGAAGTTTTTTGGGATGCCTGGGTGGCTCAGTAGTTGAGAGTCTGCCTTTGGCTCAGGGCGTGATCCTGCGGTCCTGGGATCAAGTCCCTCATCAGGCTTCCTGCATGGAGCCTGCTTCTCCCTCTGCCTACCTCTGCAGCTCTCTGTGCCTCTCATGAATAAATAGATAAAATCTAAAACAAACAAACAAATAAATAAATAAATAGAAGTTTTTAAACAATGTGGGGCCTGTGAACATTAGTGTCACTATGTTATGGTACGTATCAAGCCCAATACTGAATTACAAAGCAAGGGCTATATTGCCATACAACACTAACACTCTCCTGGATTTGAGTTCTGGCTTTCACTAGCTATCGTTGTGCACCTGAAAGACTCATTTTAACTCAAGTATTTACATATAAAATAATAGCATTTACTTCAAGCAGAGAAGACAAGGTTTAGATGAAACAAGATTGCTCATGTTGAAGGTGGGTAATAGGGACGTTCATTATATAATTCCCTATTTTGTTTAAGTTTAGTAATTTTCCATGATTAAATAAAAGGAGTCTCTAGTTCTCAGAAACTCCGTTCCCTTTGGAGGAGGCATTGTGTTATTTAAAGATAAGGGCTGTTCTGAGAATCAAATAAGAAAGTGCTATTTAGGGGATCCCTGAGTGGCTCAACGGTTTAGCGCCTGCTGTCAGCCCAGGGCCTGATCCTGGAGACCCAGGATGGAGTCCCACATCAGGCTCCCTGCATGGAGCCTGCTTCTCCCTCTGCCTGTGTCTCTGCCTCTCTCTGTGTGTCTCTCATGAAGAAAGAAAAGAAAGAAAAGAAAGAAAAGAAAGAAGGAAAGGAAAGGAAAGGAAAGGAAAGGAAAGGAAAGGAAAGGAAAGGAAAGGAAAGGAAAGGAAAGGAAAGGAAAGGAAAGGAAAGGAAAGGAAAGGAAAGGAAAGGAAAGGAAAGGAAAGGAAAGGAAAGGAAAGGAAAGGAAAGGAAAGGAAAGGAAAGGAAAGGAAAGGACGAACACACTGGAACACTGGAACACAAAAGTAGTAAAGTTATTACTAAACTTTAGAAGAACTAACACATTATTGCTGTTTCCTGATAAGGAAAAGAAAAAAACCCACTTTCCATACTCAAGTTTAAAATCTTATTAGGTAACCAGATTTTAAATAAAAAGTCGAACACAAAGATAAACGTGTACTTGAGCTGAGATGGTTAAATGAAAAGGGGGTGGGAGGAAGTAGAAGGAAGTTGGGATCCCTACTGAACTACAAAAGAGCACGACACCCAACACCAAATACTTTTCCCATGCAATGATTCCACAGTTTCCTGCCACACAAATGCTTGATTTCAGGGATAGGGAAGATAAGCAGACATCAGTACCTACTGATTTCATTCACTATTTCACTGCTACTGTGGGCAGGCCCTCTGCTGCTTTCAAATATCATTCCTGATGTAGTATGGAGAACAGAAAGGAAGAAAATTAAAGTGGCTGGAGAAAAGGGGTCAAATTATAAGAAATTTACATAACAATCCATGTGAAAATAATGGTACTTTAAGGATAAAACTAGTAGAAGCGGAGGAAAAAAAAAACAGAGTCAGGAGCAATTTAGGAGTTGGTGGTTATGGGTTAGAAAACAAAAATTATAAAATGTAACCCCAAAAAGTATAAATGAGATCATTCAAGAGAAAACAAATAGATAAGAGATATTGAGGAACAAATAGTACAATAAATTGAAATCAAGAACTGCTCTACTTTAAAAAAACAAAAAACAAAAAACAGAAACAGAGCCATTAACAATACATACAAGCATACATACATAAATAAGCATATACTTAAAATTCCAAGTCCAGACCTCTATTAATAGACACTCATCTAAGAAACAAAATGAAAAAAGAATCAGGACAAGTTTTCTAGAAATACTTGATGAGTAGACCTTTCAAAGGAAGAAAGAAGAAATCTCAGAAGAGCACAGCATGTGTTCAATGAACCAGAAGGAGCTTCATTTGTTTGGCAAAAATGTGAAACACTGTCAGAGACTTAGAGATAAATTTTAGTCAGGCTGGGAAATAACAAGACGTGATTTCTGACTTGCAGGTTTGTTTGGGTTTTTTTGTTTTTTGTTTTTTGTTTTTTTGACTTGCAAGTTTAAATGGTCTCAGTAAATGGTAAAAACAAGGATATTTAAGAAACTAGTTCTCTTAACTTATTTGCTAGGAAATATCAGGAATTAATTTAAAATACTCTGGGATCAATACTCTCATCTATAAATTGAGAAAATACTTCCTTTTATATGTGTTATGGTTTGAAAGTGTTCTCCTCCCCCTAAAATTCATATGTTGAAGCCCTAACCCTCAATGTGCTGATATCTGAGGGGAAACCTATGAGAGATAACTAGGTTTAGAAGAGATAATGAGGATGGGGCCTGCATAACGAGATTAGTGTCCTTAAAAGAAGAGAAAAAAGCTAAGCAGTCTCTCTCTCTGCCACAAGAGGACACAAGGGGGAAGGCAGCAAGCCAGGAAGACACCTCTCATCAGGGAACTGAATTAGCCGGCACCTTGATCTTGGACTGCTCAGCCTCCAGAACTACAAGAAATAAATTCCTGTTAACCAACCACCCACTCTAGTAGTTTGTTACGGTAGCCCAAGCCGACAGAGACAATTTAGAAAGGGACCTTATGATGCTAAAGTGATTTCCAGAGGTAAAAACACTTTGAAAGGCTTTAAAGGAAAATGCAAATATAAAAAAAATTATACTGTATTTAATTTAATCTTAACACAGAATTTATTAAATGTACTAATCATCTACTTAAATAACTTGATCAAAATCATCATATATCCCAAGCAAATTTGGCAACTTATACAGAAAATCAAAAAACTTTTAAATTCTCAATTTCCCGGAAACTACTTAGAGGGAATATTCAATTATTCATGTGATTTTAGCAAATTACCTACCTTCTCTATGGCAATTCTCTCATTACTGTTTTATCTCAGGTTTTCCCCCAAAACTTGATTTACCTGCAGTTATATATGTCTTCTCAGTTCCTTTTAAAATGTTTTCACTCCAGCGCAGCAACAGTGCACACAACTGCCACGCAGGATAGTCCTACAAACCAGCAGATCCACTACTACTCAACAGTCCCACAACCCGTTAGATCCACTACTCACCAGTATACTATCCTATGGCTAATTAAGTCTGACTGCATCAACCATGAAAATGATCACCAGTGATAGACACAAAAGAAATTATACTCTAAACTGAATGTCTACTAAAATTAAAACCACAGGTTTAAAGCCATACAACTCAAACCTACTACCATTTACTAGTATTACACACTTCAGTCATGTAGAACATAAATCAAAGGTGAAATACAACCATTATCTATTCTTTTTTGAGAATACAAATGAATTCACAAAAAAAAGTATGTTTTTTATCACATAAAGATTTTCTTAAGGTACCAAATAATCCATAAACTGGGTAATCATCTCTTGAGTTACTAAGAATTTACTATATTTTACTTTAAATCAATACATAATTCTTTATAATGTTCATTTTGAAAAAAAATCTACAATTATTCTTGTAGTTATTATTTCCCAACACAAATAGCAAATGTTTACAAAGTTAAGAAATTATTCTAGCTCACACAGATATTTCTTAAAGTAAATTCTAAAATCAATCAAGAGATAGAAATGACAAATATCATAACAATGTCTGACACAGGACTATTAAACTGAATTTTAAATTTTTATACAACTGCAACTTATAATAAGAAATAGCAATTCACCATATGAGTTTTTTAAAATTCACAGATTTTAATAATGAAATACAAGTGTATCTTTGTTCTTTATGTAAATTTTATACCAGTTAGATTCCTGAAAAACTAAGTACATATTTACAGTGGAGGAATGGTGTGGCAGATTATGTTTTTCAAAGGGGACCATACCAATATATATCCATCTTAACTACTTTTGTGACAATGTGATAATGACAGAAGACTATTAAGAGGAGGGTTTCTTTTCCCTCCCACTGAACCTGGACATTGGCAACTGCCGTGATGAACATAAGGAAGCAGAAGTAACACTACGTGACTTCTGAGGTTAGATCATAAAAGACAACGCAGGTGCCACTTGTCTGTCTTTCTCTCTCCCTCAGAATTCAGACCCTGCATGCCTTGAGAGTTCTTCATTCTAAGTCTGGCTACCCTGAAGATGACTATGATAGAGGAGAACA